ATTTTAAAATATAATAAAGTACTTGTAAGGTATTCCATATCCTTTTATGTTACATTCTTTTCAAAGTGAACCCCAATTATAAATGTATGCATGTGGACAATTTTTCCTTTCAATATTGAACAATTGTTTAATCAACTTCTTTTTTAAATATATTTTTTCTCCTTTTTTCATGTATCATGTATGTATAATAGAAATGTCCAAAAGTAGTATGATAATGACTTTCGAAAATTTTAATAGTTACTTTGCGTTTAATATAATCTAATTTCGAATTGAAAATGACATGTATCATTTTAATTAAATTATAAGATACACTTTTTAGAAAAGCTTAAACATATCATCAACTAATAATTTATCTTATATCGTCATTAAATTTTCACTATATATTATCAGGGACCTATTGTACGTACGAAGAGATAATATACACTCCTTTCATCTCAATTAATGTAAATCTTTTAAATTTCGAGATTCAAATAAATTTTTCTTTAACTGTAATATTTTCATGTATTTTTAAAATACCTTTAATTATTAATTAATTTGTCTTATAATAATTTTTATGTAGTTTTCAAATATGTGAATTTAAAAAAAAATAATTAAAGATGCCACATCCGAATTCATGCACAGTCAAAATTCAAAACTTATCTTGTTTGATCCTTGAAATTTGATTTGTGTCACATAAATTGAATTAGAAAGCATAGTTGATTTGGACTATTGAATGTCTTTAATTTCTTAAATCAGATGCAAAAAATGTGTCACAATTATCGTAAATTGTGATTGAATGTAAGAGACCAAACACCTTTTGACTAAAATACATTGAGATAAATAAAAATGAAATAAATAAAATCTAACTAACTAAAAGCAATATATCAATGTGTGGAGGCATATTTTGTTATTTGGGTATGCCTTTTTGGTGTGCGACTCTCATTTTGGTGCTCCAACTAATTGGTAGAAGGTCCATTAAAAGAAAAGGGAAAATGGTATAAAATAACAAACTATAAATTTTAAATTAAATGCTATAATTATAGTTTTATTTAATTGTAACTCGTAGTAAACAATTGTCATTTCTCTCTCTCCCTAGCGAATCTCGCTCGTCACTCTCCCTCGCCTCTCTCACTTTATACAAACACAAATGTATAAATTGTGTTTGTGTTTGTATAAAGCGAGAGAAAACTACATATATAAATACATATATTTTCGTCCTATACATTTATAATTATACAAATATAGATCTTTCCCTACCAGTTCTCTTTTGCCTTTCTCTCTTTATCGCTTTATACAAACACAAATTATACAAATTACAATGTATAATTTGTGTTGTATAAAGCGAGAGAGAGAGATTTGTTATACAAATGTTTTATTTCGATTCAATTGTATACAAATTCAAATTTTATGCAGATATACAAACACAACATTGATACATATACATAGTAGTTACATATATACAATTGAATTGAGAGGCTGCAAGGGATTTACACAAACAAGAGGCTGACTACGATTTATACAAATGAGAGGCTGCCAGTGATTTATACAAATCTGATGCTCTATAGCAAACATAAAGTTTGCTATGGAGCGCAATTATACAAATTAAACTATAGCTATAACATACAAATATGATTTTTATGTTTGCTAAACCTAAAATTTGCTCAAAAGAAAAACGTTCTTATCATGATTAAATATCTTTCTAAAGTTCGAATTTAAAACTTTTAGTTAAGGGGATAAAATTTATTTATTCCACCGCAACTTCATGGTCATGGAGGCATATTAAACGTACTTACAATGAATTTTTTTTTGGTTTTTCATCAGGTGTTCGGAGTCCGTATTGAAGCTCTGACTAAACCTGGATCACACTGCAGGGCCCGTTCAGGAGTGAAGCTCCCAACAAGATTCTCTCCATACCCAAGGCTCGAACCCAAGACCACTGATTAAAAGGAGGGATACAACACAAAGACTTCTCAGGAAATCACACATCTTAGTATTACTTTTACCCAAATACGCTTAACTTCGACGTTCTGAGGAGATCTGATGTTCTAGTGCTGATATGATCGAGTTAAAACTCAAAAATAAATTATTTTATAATGATTGATAATAGTGAAATTCCGACAGAAACTTCAAGTGTACATCATTCCATACTGTTTATGTAGGCAATACATTACCCAAAGCTTAAAATTCATACAAGTTTGTCTACAACAGTATTTCCAATGGAATATATTTTAGGGCAAAAGTTTTTTTCGAAAATAGGAGACCTAAAAATATAAAATTATATACCAAAGCATAGTACCAAAACATTAGCATTAAATGCTCCAGCCAAGCACCACCTATAGACTAATGTCATTTAGTGTAACATTGGACATAGTCACGTCACACTAAAACGATTAGCTCGGTATATAATGTATTCCACGTTTACTTAGGATTTTAGAAAAAAGTTGTACTATCAGAAAAGGTATATCTTACACAATTGCCATAATTCATAGCATTAATAATTAATTCTACAGTTCGAACTATGACCTATAGATCACACAAATACAATTATATCATTGCTCATAAGTTCTTTTTTTTTTATTTTTTGGTAAATAAAATGTTTTTATTACCAAGTAGGAATCACAATGCATAAGAAAGAAAAAAAGGTGTCACACTAGGGAGTAAAAATGTCCATGAACATTTAATTGATAATTACTTACTAAATTGATAACTAACTTCATGATCAGTAGCAGAGCCATATAATTCGCAAGGGGATTGAAAATATAAAAAGTAAATATATGAATAAAGATGAAAGAAATTCAATATATATCATATATTTATAACGAATAATTTTGATATGGTATATTTATAGTAAAAGAATTTTGACGAAGGGAATCCAAATGACCCCCTTTACGAAACATGATCACTCTTTTCGCCTATGATGACTGATGATAAAAATACTTTTTTTAATTTATACAATGTAAATGCATATATACATAATTAGTTTGATCCTATCCGAATATATCATCTTAGAATAAAAGAAAGTAAAATGATAATTATAAAGAAATGCTTTGATTTAGCCTAGGGCTTTGAAAACATTAATAGTTGTGTGTGGATATGATTCATATTTAGTGGTGTATGATCATGTGAAGGAAGACATATTAAAACCCAAGATGCCAGACAAAGTTGTTGAAAGATTAGAAGGGAATATTTGGGAGTATGAAATAATGTAATTAGAAGATAATATGTGTGTGTTTTAATTATTTTTAGGTTTGTGCACATGTTAACACCACATATATATTATTCTATTACTAGAGAACAAATACCCCTTTTTGTGGTTCTCACACTCTCCCTCTTACCTTTAATTTCTCAAGTCAATGCCTCACTTGTACTTTAATGTTCATATATATTACATTTATTTTCTTTATTGCATATGTCTAAGTTTGACCTAACTTATTAAACAAAATATAAGTTACATACATGGACAATAAAACTAATTATGACACTACACTACCAGTAAGTTTTAATTTATTCTAGCTTAATTAGTAGGGTAGATTTTTATTTTTCCATGCTATTAATCTCATTTATTTATCATAGACTATAACTTATACTCTTGATATGCCAATTTATGTAGTGTTGTTCGATTAAACACGAATTTTAAAAATAAGGTTTAGACCGTTATATGGGGTAAAAACTTCCCCGACTCCCATTGTGTACTTGTACACTCACTACTAGCAAATCAGTGAGAAATTTATGTTATAGAACATAAATTTTTTTATTCATTTCTTACCGAATGATCAACTCACTGAAAAAATACATAGTAAGAAACAAACTATATAAACTTACCATCTTAAGTGAGATAAATGCATGGGCAAATTAAGTGCACACCTAGTATTGTCATGTATCATCTGATATTGGTGTAAACACTCGATACAGACTATATATAAATTTTAATGTTGGGTAAAAAATGAAATAGAAACACATAAAAAGACAAGAAGTAGAAGCGTAGAGAGTGGGAGAAAAAGAATCAAGGGGAGATGAGTGTCTCTTTCACTCTTCAACCATTTTTAACCCGTTCTCTACGGAGAGGAAAATCAATCAAAAAGTGACCCTTCATCTTTTTCATTTTTATTTACAATTTATTGTAATTGTCTTACTCTTTATTTTTTGTAATTATTTAATTTTAATTAATAAAAATCTCACATAAAATCAAAAAATTTAAAGGGTATTTCAATATATAGTATACACGTAACAAATTTAAGATCATAAAATTCAAGAATTTATCAGATATTTCCTCTGTTTAAATTTGTTTATCTGGTTGTGACTGGAGACGAAATTTAAGAAAATAAGGAAAAAAATTTGAATCTTAAACTAAAGATATGTATAATGTACCAGAATGTGCTTTAATTTTGATGTTTTCAACATGTTGAAAAGTTAAATTAAAGAGTTGCTAAAAAAAGAAAGATTCATTTTTTTAAAACAAACTAAAAAAAAATAAGATAAACAAATTAAAAACAAAAAATATTTATTTTCATGATTATAAATTTTATATTAATTTTAAAGAGTGTATCAATAACGTAAGAAATTTGTTACCAATAATTTAGGTTGCTTTGTTTTATGTTATTTTTTTACTATATAGAAGAAAGAGAAAGAAACTATCGAAAATGTGTTGTAGTGAATGAAGTTGTTTCTGTCTTAATCAAATGTTTTAGATTTGAGATATGAATATGTAAAAATATTTGATAGAGAGCGCTTCCTTCTAAATGGGGTCCTATATAGTGTGAATCTGAGTTAATCGAATTCTAATACGAATACCGAACATCAGATTAAAAAAAAAAGGGACAAAACAAGAAAGAGAAAGAGAAAGGAGCCTTGTGTTCAAGTGTCATTTTCTAATAAACAGTACTTCTCGAGGAACACAAGTCTCCTATCCCTTTCTTCCTTTTTTCTCATTCCATAAAGCCTTTCTTGATTCCTTTCTTTCATTTATTACCAAAACAAATATTTTTTTTTCTATTGTTTTCACAAACACCATTATCCCTTCTTCTTCTTCCTTTTTCACAAACATGTCCACTTAAAAAGAAGATAAAAGATAAACTCAAAATCTTTGCCCCTCACTTTTTCTTCACTTACACTTAGCTTTTTAACAATCTCTCCCTAACTCTTTTTCCACCTAAATCTATCATCAAGAATCAAACTTGAAGTTTGTTCATCTTTCTTTTTCCACATCTTGTGTATGTGTGCAACTTTTTACTTTTATATTTCATCAATTTGGGGTTTTTGAGGTATTAAAGCCAAAAACATCATAAAAAAGAACAAATCTTGAATTTGTCATATCCAAGATGCCCTTAGAAGGGGTTTTTGTTCAACCAAACTCATCTTCATCAAAACAAATCCCTGATCTTTCTCTCCATATTAGCCCTCCAAATAATACTAATTCCTCAAACAAATCATCATCATCAACACATAATAGTCTGACTGAGCTTTCTTTAGCTCATCCAACTACTAATAATGAAGAAAATAGGAGTTTTTCAAGAAACCCTTTTCTCCAACAAAGCCAAAACATGAATAGTTGTTATATGATTAATCATCAACCACATGGGGTTTCTTTATTAGACCCCATAAAGGGTATTCCTATTTATCATCATCATCATCAAGATTCATTTTCTAATTTCTTGGAGAAAGATCCAAAGAGATTATCATCATTTGGATCCCTTTATTCAACACCTTATATTAATAATTTGGATCATTTATCATTTTTGAATAATTCATGTGGTACAAATGTTTCTTCTTCTCGGATACCTATTGTGGCTAATAGATTTCACAATCAACATAACCAATATTATAATGGAGTTGGATTAGGTTCACCTTCTTCTCATCATGAAAATAGTTTGATGATGAGATCAAGATTTTTACCTAAATTTCCAACTAAAAGAAGCATGAGGGCACCGCGAATGCGATGGACAACTTCACTTCATGCTAGATTTGTTCATGCTGTTGAGCTTCTTGGTGGACATGAAAGTAAAAACTCTATCCCCTACTTTGAGTTTTTTTTTTTTACATATATAATGCACTTGTTTGTGTACATGAAAGTAAAACTTCAATTCTTAAAATTAATTTTCATCTCCTAGTTTGAGTTATCTTGTAAAAATTTCATTTTATTTTTTTTGATGTTTTTTTGGTGGCCAATGGACATGAAAGTAAACCCCAAATCTTTATCTTGATTTTTTTTCCAACTTCCTTTGATTTGATTTGATTTTTAGGGTACATTAGGTTTGATGAGAGAAGTGATGAGAACATTAATGATATTAATAGTTTCGAAAAAAAGATTCACGATTTAAATTTGATAGATTCAATTTTTATTTTTATTTTTTACACTATTGTAACTCAATACATGACTTTTGCAATTTAGGTTCATATATGTTCATATTCATCATCACATTTTAGTGCATTTAAAATTATTGTTGCTTAATAATATACTAAAAATTGCATATTTAATTCTAATGTTGAATTTTCTTGAATTTTTAATTAGGGGCTACTCCAAAATCAGTCTTGGAGCTAATGGATGTCAAAGATCTCACTCTAGCTCATGTCAAAAGTCATTTGCAGGTAAAATAAATAAATTACAAGAAAAAATGTAAAAGGAAAATTCAGTTTAATTAAATCTATTTTTCTTTTTCTTTTTTCTTCTTGTGTGGGTGAATTGTTTATGTGGCACAGTAATCGATGAAAAATGCAGTGAATGAATGACTGAATTAAAGAAAACAAGTCTGATAGTATAGCAGAGAGATAAAGAAAAAGAAAACAGACAAAAGTAAGTCATCATTATTCAATAATAATAATAATAATAATACTAATACTTCTTGTTACCTTATCATAAACATCAACCTCGTGATTAATGAATTATGAAACATTTTGAGTCACAATATTATTTTTTTCGTGATTTGAAGCAACCGTTAGTAAATAAAATATCTTTTTATATATAGTGTAATTTTACGTCGTACTCCTACATAGCTTTACCCTCGTATATATCTATGTGTGAGTAGGGGTGAAGCTAAAATATGAGTTATGAGTTTGACTATACTCAATAATTTTAGTTTAGATTGTGTATTTGTCTTAGGTTTATTGAATATGTAGTTTTTGACGGGATACTTTCGAAAAATTAGAATTTTGAATTTATAAACTTCAAATCTTAGCTTCACCCGAGAGTGTGAGAGAGTGAGGAGATATATGGGGGTATAAATGGAATCTTTTTGTATTTATTGAATTGTTGTTTAAAATTCTAAAATGTTTTTTTTCTAATGCAGATGTATCGCACTGTTAAAACCACTGACAAACCTGCAGCTTCCTCAGGTAATTAATTAATTCACTATATTCAAAAAGGAATTAATAACTATATTTATCGTTAAATAACTTAATAGCTAATCGTATTATTGATAACCCATCACTAACTCATTATTAAATAGGATTAGTAACAGATTTTTGCTAGCACTTTTAATGATAGAAATTTTCTAAACCATCTCTCTATCCTATAAAGATTGAGACTTATCTACGTACGTTCACTTTATACTTGTGGAATCACACTAAATATATTATTATTATTGTTATGAATAAAATTTGTCTGTCGCTAATTTATTATCGGTAATTTATTAAGGGCAATCAGATGGATCAGGTGAAGAAGATCTGTTAGCTATAGACAGGATTTTGGATCAAAGAGGTCCATCAGATGGATGTGATGAACCTTCTACAACTCTTTGGAGCAACTCCTCTAGGTACAATTGACACATAAATTATATATAAATCTTTGAATAAATGATCATGTCTTTTGATTTTCATGGCGTTTACGTTATATACACTGATGATATAAAAATAATTAGGTAATCAGGTCGTTGATGAGGTAGTTACACATAAATAGTTATGATAAAATACTTCGACTCGTTTTATTTGACATAATTCATTTTTTAGTCTGTCTAAAAAATAATTATATTTTGAAATAATGACTTCAAATTTTATTTACATATTGCTTATTGAATTTATATCACAAAATTTAAAAGTCTTTCTTTCTTTCTAAATTACGTGTCCAAATTAGATCGAAGGGAGTAATTGATAACCTAATAATATGTAGTAGTATATATAAATGCTATAATAGGTTGAATTTAATGTCTATACACTTGAAGTATAAGAAGTATTTTTACAATTAAGACACTTTAAAGGTATAGTTAAATGTAGCTCTGTTTAATATATATTTACGTCCACATAAAAATGTGGACACAAATATATTTTTAATACAGTAAACAAATAAAATGGATTGAGATAAAAAAAAATTGGTCTCACGGGGCAAATATTTCACACGTACATAATTAACTTTTGAAGTAATGATGAATAAAATTGATAAAACATATTTTCTTTTACTTTTTGCATGAATCTTTAGAAATGCAAACCCACGTACTTCATTTTATAATTATTCTAAATATATTAATATTATATACTTATATAAAGAGTTTCTTGTGGCAGCTTTTGCTTCTTTTTTTTCTTCTCTTTTTATTATATTTCTTTTTTCTTTTTTCACCTGAAGATTTTTCAACATATGTACGCCCTTTATTTTTTATTAAAGAAACATATATAATAGTACTACATAAATTAAAGTGTAGTATTTAATTACTGCAACAACTACTTTATCTTTTCTTTTTTCTCTTTCTTTGCATTTTGGAATTAATGAATTTAATTTTCTAATTAAATTTAATATAGACAAAACCCTTTTACTTTACTTTGTTGTTATTCTCTTCACGAGGAGACTTTAGCATATATGTCCAAAAAAAAAGACCTGTCTCTTGACTTAAGTGCCTCCTTTTCTCAAAGTTATACATTTGTTTAATTAAAGTATTTATTTATGCATGCTGTTTCTATGGACGTGTGTTTGTCTCTTATGTGTATATAGTTAATAATAATATATAATATGTAATATCTTTCTTGTTATTTGAAATTTGAAATGTAGCTTCTACGTACGTATTAGGAAAACTTGCTCTATAAATTGTCCTTTTCCTTTGATTACTTAATACTCTGACTTTAAATGCAAATATAAATATCTTAATTTGTGTTACTGTATCACTCGAACACTTCAATTTCAACCTTAATTATGTATATAAGTAATGTTCTTCCATACTCTTGAGAAAATAGGCATAAGGTAGGTATACATCTTATTGGTAGAGAACTTCCCACCCCCAGTGTCTTTGCAGACTCAGTCAAAAATAGCTTTTAGCGGCAATAAATAGACACATTAATAAAGAGTGCTAAAGTCTAGCTTTACCGGCATTAGTTAAGTGTCATTAGATCCAGTGTTGCTAAAGACTTTAGGGGTATATACAAAGAGTGCTAATTGCCACTAAAAATACATATTTAGTGACAATTAAGCTATTGTCATTAATTAATTGCCGCTAAAGATCATTTTTGACGTAGTGTCAATGATATTAAGTCCACCTGCAACATGTGGTTTGCACACTGTTTTCCAGGAAACTAAGGCTTTCTTGGATGAGTTGGATTTTAATTTAGTCTTTTAATAGGTTGAACTTTAATTTTTCGCCTTCAGATGTTGGTCTTCAATTTTTATCTTTTTAACAATATAATTTATGTCTAATAAGACATAAAGTTCTTTAAATTTGAAGTCATGTTGGGACATAAATATAGGACATTATGATATATATAAGAAAATATAAACTTACATCCCGTGGAAACACTGTTTGTTATGAACGACAAAAATTAAAAATCATCATAAAATAAAGCTAAGACAAAATTGCAAATGACTCCATTTATAAAAAAAAATTTGAAAGCTCTTGCACCATTAATAAAAAAATAAGTGTATTTAGACTTCTCTTACCCCATCTTCACCTGTAATTAGTCTAGTTCTAGGGTTTACTAGATCCAAATTCTTTTTAGTTCTCTATCCATCGTCATTTTTTTCTTTTGAAAAAAGAGTGTTGATGGTGAAGGAGAGAGAAATAACGGGACAAGCGAGACTTGCTCAAATGACTAAACACTTTTATCATTCATCGATAGATTGAGCATTTGAGTTAAGCTATATACTAAGAAATGAGAAGACTATTGATCCTCCCGAGGGGTAGGATGATAACGGGTTGAAGAGTAATGGGCTTGGAGTAGCGAAAAAGTACACTAATGGGCTGATTGTGAGATGAAAGAAGCCCAAAATCCCTTGATGTGCTTAATTCATTCTATTTTTAAATAAATGATCTTATAATATAAATATTTCTCTTAAGGAGTATGCGAAAACTTTAAAAGTATATGTTATAGTATATAAAGTTTATTTTCTACTTAAATTTTCAGTAGTAGAGAAAGATTATCACAAGCTAGCTTCAACGAATCAAATGGACTCATCAGATCATCATCTTTTCCATCTCAACAAAGATTTGGCCACCATATAGAGGTACTTCCCTCAATCTCTTCTCGTTTTTCCTAATAAACATATTGTTCAGATCAACTTACGTACATTTTGAATAACCCTATCTTTTAATGTAATACTAGTGTTTTCCTCATTTTACTTTGCATGGAAGTACTATCAAATGTTTAATTGATGTTATAGCTTCAAAATTATAATTTAAATTTCAGAAGATGTTCAATATTTAAAATAAAAAGGGAATTATAGTACTTTTGGTTCCTTGGTTATTTGGTTAATTATAATTTAATCCTTGTGATATCAAGCAAAACACATTATTTAGCCTTCAATCAATAGAAATGTGAATTGTAAAATGTTTTATTAATGACCCCTTATTTTTCTTCTCTTTTCTATGTTTTAATAATGAACTCACCCACTATATATGTGGAGAATTTATCCCCCTCTCCACTAGGAAAAAAGGGACACCATTATAAGTAAAACATTTACAACTTCTTTTTTCATTTTAACAAAAGGAAAAGAATTGCTATAGTTGAATTAGTTGACACTAGATTAGACCAACATAACTGCATACGTCTCAATTCCAAACAAGTTGATTAGGTTACCTATTTGACCAAACTAAATCTATAACTAGACAATGTGGTCCGTCGCAATTATATTGCCTTCCATTTCAACATAAAAATCATGATATTAAGTGTACTAAATATGTGAAGAAATTATTGCAGGAATGTGAATATTCAAGAGCAATGAGCTATGTAGGTTGCAGTTTGGATCAGAAAAACCCTAGCTTGGAGTTCACATTAGGAAGATCAGATTGGGTAGAAAAGAACCATGACTAAAATTTGGGCATCAACACCTTCAATATATTAAATTTTATTTGGGTTTTTGGCTTAAAGCTGATTCTTCTAATTTTGTTATTTTTTTGTAATTTGAGATGAAAGGTATGTGATATCAAGATTGAAATATTAAGAGCTGCTACTACTACTACTAAAAAAAAAAAAGAATTGGTTTTCTTTAGCTAGCATGGCTAAGTAAGTTCCCATGTAGCTTCAACTAAGTTATGACCTACCTACCTATATATATATATATACACACAACCTAAATTTTTTTTCTAGAGTTTTGTTAATTAGACTTTTTTTCCTTGTTTAATTTGAGTTCTTGGGTTGTTTATGAGTATGTAATAATATAAAAGTTGTTGGAGTTTTTGGGTTGTCTGTGAGGCATAGAGTTTATCTTGTATTAATGACTACTCTAGTGGAATGGTTTTATATGGTGCAATAGTAGAATGCTTTTTTTATGGTACAAGGACATTATTATTCAAAATATTAGCCTAGCATCAAATTATAAATTAAGTAATGGTGTATCAATATAATTAAGAAATGTAATGCCCAAGAAGCAAATTCTTAGTACATATCTCAGGATCAGTTTCTTGCGAATTCATTGTTGGTCCATAATCCATTAACTAAATTAATTTCCCACCATTTTTTTTGTGATTATTTTATTTATATTTATAGTAATTAGAAGCAAAAATAAATTCATTAACATACAAAAAAATAAAAATAAAAATAAATCCACAAGGGACTTGGAGGAGTGTGAATGTTCTTTTTTGGAGGAATTTTCAAAACCGATTATAGTTTAGGCTTAATTATAATTTTATATATAGCTAAATTATGATTCTTAGCTACATGATAGAATCATGCGAGAGGTGAGAGAGGACGAATTCATATTATATTCATTGTATCAAGTGTATTTATTTCTTGTGTATTCGCTCTGTTTCTTTAGTGTGGGAATGATTTTGGATATTAATTAAGGTAACTAGAATCTCATAGCACAAAGTTGAATTGAAAGTTTCCTTATCGATTAAGTTTTGATGTAAGATTCTCTTTGAGTCAACTTCAAACGATCATATCTCTTCTTAGACGTGACCCATAACCTATTAAATTAAAGGTCTTTGAATTATCTTTCCAATGCCACCAAGTTTGCGTCATTCCGCGTTCGGAGGAGAGAGTTATGATCATTTTACTAAATAATATATTGCAGTTCCGTTTTAGCCACGGGAGAATTCTAAATAAAGTAATTTTCTTCTCCTTATACCACTAGGAAAACCTTAAAAACAGATTTCTTAACTCCTATAAAGCCCTAAACAATCCTATTTCCATCTTTTAATCCATCATTCTCTTCTCTCTCAAACCCTAAGACAAAACCCTAAGGAAAAATCAAAGTAAAAGACTCCATTCAAGATTCTTTCCATCTTTTTCAAAATTCTTCTTCAAGGTAAGTTTTTCTCCAAGAATTCTATTCTTTCAAACTAAAATTTCTCCCTACAATTATGAATCACTAATGAAAATCATAAATCGTGGCAATAGAGATTTCAAGAAACTAATTCAAGAATCTCAAGAAAGGTTTTCTTGATTTTTTTTTTACCTTCAAGCTAGGGTTTCAAGGCTTCTAATCAAGTTCTTCTTCAAGATTCTTCAAGATTTTTCAAGAACCTTGTTCTTCCAGGTATGTAAGGCTATCATAGTGTTGGACTAGTTCGTCCTCACGCCCTACATCTACTTTCAAATCAGTAAAAGAGAAATCTAGAATTCTACCCCTAGATTTGGGTATTCTTGAGATAAGTTGACTTTGAGTTCTTAAATTACTGATTCTTTTGAAATTCTATTCCTAAGAATTGAGTTTCTATATTTTTATTGAGATCCTTAAGTTGATTTGTTCATGTCTATAATTCAGCATGAACCCTATTTTGAGTTATAAATCTTGAAAAGTTTTTCAAAGCTAACACTTGAGTTTTAAACTGAGTTTTTGAGGAAGTAAAGATGAGTTTTGAGAAAAAGTTTAAAGGTTCTATTTCATAAAGACTTAAGAGTTTCTAATGTTATTTTATTTTTATATATATACCTATGTTAATTATTGGATTTGAAAGATAAGTTCATAAGTGCATGTTTTCAAGAAGGTAAACACGTCTCATGTTTTGAAAAGTATTTCAAGTAATGTAAGAAGTCCATTCTTTGTAATGGATGAATTGAGCACAAAGTTATATTAATTATTTTGGGAGTAGTATCGAACACATAGTTGGGTTAGTCTTTTATGATTCGGAAGTCCCATAGAACTACGTAGCCAGCGTAAGATAGGATATCATTGATTCTTCATGCGACTCCTCACCGCCTCTGAGAAGACATATAGTTGGATCTATAGTCACGATATCATCCTATACATTGGCACAGTCTAGGATGGCCCTAACAACATGAGGCGAAACATTGTATCATTGCTAGGCTCATGCTAATGGTTGTCAGTTAGAGAAACTCTCCACAAGTAAAGATTATTCTTTTCATGTTGCTTTTATTGCATATCCTATTGTAAAGCTTAAATGGTTTTCACTTCATGTTCATGTTTTGATTCAGTTGAGTTGCTTTCAGTCATTCAGTTCAGTTATTTGTTTACTCAGCCATATTACATACTCATACATTTCATGTTCTGATGTCATTCGACCTGCATCCTTTTATGATGCAGATATAGGCGTTCATGATTATCAACGAGCGCTTCGTTGAGATCACTCTACACTCCAGTTAGCTTTGGTGAGCCTCATTGTATTCTAGAGGACTTCACAGTTACTTTCTAGTTAGTAGTTTTGAGGTGTCGTGGGTCTTGTCCCGACATCCTTTCTTAATAGTAGATGTTTCATAGATAGACAGTTTTGGAAAGTTTTTCAGTTTCAGATGTTTTATTTAAACTTATGATTTATACTCAGTATATTCAATAAAGTTTTGAGATTCAGTAAACTGTTTTTAAACGTTTCTTTCAATTTGATGCTTATGTATGCTCAAGTTAGTCTTCCGTTTGTAGTCAGCCAGGATAAGGGTTCGCTTGGGGACCAGTAATGGTTCTTGAGTGCCGGCCACTATCACGACCTGGGAGCACCCCCAAGTCGTAACAAGGCGTACTCGACCCCGAAGGGGTCTTATACAAGCCACATAGTCATTCATTGCATTCAATAATGAAAATAGTGCGGAATAATAAAAAACTTATTTACATCCACACATTTAAACTTCTTAAAACAACTTTAAAAACACACAGCGGAAGTCTAAGTCTCACATGGCCATCTTAGACACAAACAAAAACATAAGTAGGGACACGGCCCTTTACAATCAAAACAAAACTAAAAGTGTCTATTACATGAACAAAAGAACTTAAAAGTCTTGTCCTCGAATCCATGAGGACATACCAAGTCTTGGAGGAAAGCAATCCAACACTTCAAACTAGCTAAGAGGGATCACTTGCCGGAACCTACACTTGTAGTAAAAACATGAAGAATATGGGTTAGTACAAAAAAATGTACTATGTATGATGACCATGCAAAACATGCTTTAAAAAGGGACATTTTAGTTAGAAACCATGCATTATGCCACCTTTTTGAAATATCATGAACAATAGCATAAAAGACATACAAGACAAGCATAACATCAAGTAAGTCATAATATCACCTTTAAACAATATCAACATGAAAACCTTTACCTTGGACCTTCACCTCAAGAAACCCTTATGCTATACCTCGTGCAATGTATGGATGGCGTCCCATACCACCATCCATACTAAGGCACCACATTTAGGTCACTTAAAGTAACTTATCATTCATTTCTTTCACCTTTGCACAATATTCATACATAAGAGGTATATCATTAATTAAGACATGACAAGGGAAAATAACTCGTAATATAACCCAAGTATAACATGCATAACATATTAAGCATTTAAGAGCCAACATTCTTTAATAACCTCATTTAGGGTACATTCATGTCACAGTCATTAGGATTTAGAGAAACTCACTATGACCCTCTCCAAGCCTACTCGTGCAATGTATAGGTAGCATCCCATACTACTACCTACACTTTGTAGAACCTGTCAAGAAACCATAATGAAATCTCACATGATGAGAAGTAAGCGTTTAACCGACATAGACCATGAGAGCTTGTCATGGAATCCGGTGTCATGAGTCCCCACACCGAAAAGAGGTGGTCTACTTGCCTAAGGAAGACCGGTATATATAGCTTAATGGATCCACTAGCTTCCTATGCGGGCACATAGTTTATGGGATAAGGTAGACGATCATTGAAACTCATGCCTAACTGTCGGGGGAGTTTCCATCTAACCAAATCCGCTCGGTGCTTAGCCTACATTCCCATAGAATAGTTCATTACTTTGACATCATCACACATGAAAGGGTGCCATAAGCCTACCGATTCAAGGTACATTATTTAACACATGAAAGGGTGCCATAAGCCTACCGATTCAAGGTACATTATTTAACACATGAAAGGGTGCCATAAGCCTACCGATTCAAGGTACATTATTTAACACATGAAAGGGTGCCATAAGCCTACCGATTCAAGGTACATTATTTAACACATGAAAGGGTGCCATAAGCCTACCGATTCAAGGTACATTATTTAACACATGAAAGGGTGCCATAAGCCTACCGATTCAAGGTACATTATTTAACACATGAAAGGGTGCCATAAGCCTACCGATTCAAGGTACATTATTTAACACATGAAAGGGTGCCATAAGCCTACCGATTCAAGGTACATTATTTAACACATGAAAGGGTGCCATAAGCCTACCGATTCAAGGTACATTATTTAACACATGAAAGGGTGCCATAAGCCTACCGATTCAAGGTACATTATTTAACACATGAAAGGGTGCCATAAGCCTACCGATTCAAGGTACATTATTTAACACATGAAAGGGTGCCATAAGCCTACCGATTCAAGGTACATTATTTAACACATGAAAGGGTGCCATAAGCCTACCGATTCAAGGTACATTATTTAACACATGAAAGGGTGCCATAAGCCTGCCGATTCCAAGGTTCATTATTTAACACATGAAAGGGTGCCATAAGCCTACCGATCCAAGGATTCAACAATCAACAATATAATCATTTATACAAGAAAATGATGCATAAGCCCTACCAATTCAAGGTATACTTTACATTGAAGAATCCTTCATATTCTATCATCAACATTCATGAGTGTCAAATTGAGAAATAATCTTTCAATAGTAACACATTTACATTCATAACATGATCACATTATCTTCATTGAACTCTCATTCATACAATGTCATGATAACACTGTTTTATTTAAAAATATATTTTGGACTAGTTTAAGAGTCGCCACTTAATTTTAAAGTAAAATTAAGAAAACTGTTGTTTTCAAAAGACTAAAACAGGAGTCTAATGAAAACTTAAAGGGGTTCGGGGGTTCTTATTAGCATTTCGGGAAGGGTTTGAAA